CAGACCCAGAGGAACCCACAACTGGGACCCCCACACCTCCCTCTCAAGGCACTGTAGAAATCCCCAAACACTGCACATGAATTACATCTGGCACACCCAAGGCACAGGAGAGAGTTTAATTAAATAAGTTTATTGTCTAACGCTTACATTTGTTACATCGCCGCTGTAAAGTGCGACAAATTTTCAGCAGGAACTCCCCGTTCCCCCTTTCCCCTCCTAGGAACTGCTGCAGGAACCAGGCCTCGTTCTTTAGACTCACAGAAGCGAAGTAGTGGACATGAAGTTTCAGTGGCACAGTTTTCACAAGTACATGGTTGAACAGAACTGCTGGGCAGGGCTGGGCAGAGCCCTGGGCACAGCAGATCCCCCCAGGCAGAGCCAGCTCACAGGTGAGATCGGTATCAGCCGCCAGGAAATGTTTGCTTGCCACCCTCAGAGCTCAGAGCAAGGTGCCTGGGTGGAGGCACAGCAAAGGAATAAGGAGTGCTGAGTTCAGTGGTGGGGAAATGCAGTTTAAAAAAGTATAAAAAATTAATGTAAAATACAGATACAAATAAATTTTGTCAGGAATACTGGCACGTGGCAATCTGAACTCAGGGGTTGGTTTTTTTTCTATTAGGGAAATTAACTGAACACTTTACTGCTCTGTGCAAAGACTTTTACTGGCTCTCAAACTGATACATTTTACAATCTCACTGTAGTGTCTGAACAGCAAGGTAGATGAATTGTTTCCAGCATTACAGGCAACACTAGATAATACTTAAACAAGATAATGTAAACTTTATTCTTAAGGCAGCTGGTACTAATGCTGCACACAGGCATTGCTCAATGCCCATTACAGTAATGGGACACGTAGCACTTGAAAACAAGTAAAAAGAAAAGAGCATTATTGGACTAAATGATGCATGTTGTCAAAATACCTTCCCTTTCACACAAACCATGAAATATTTGGACATCTAGAAAAATAATGCACCTACTCCTCCAACTTCAGCCTGTTCTTTTACAAATATTTCAAAATACTGATAAATAATAGTGACTGCAAGCAGAATGCCAGTGCCAGAGCCAATGGCTCCTAAAAAGTCAGCCAGTACTGAGAGGGCACCGATGCACAAACCACCAAATGCAGCTGCTGTAGGGATGTATCTGTAAGAAAGGAAAAAACAGGGAAGAAGAAGGTAATAACCAAGGAATCTTTCTTTGACAAACATGGAAGAGATGTTTATAAACATCTCAAAATCCCTCATTATGTCACTTTAAAAAAAAAAAGACAGTACAGGTTAATCTCTAATCTGTTGCTGTAACTTCTTTTGCATAACTAAGAAAATCAACAGCTGAATGGGAAGAACCTTCCCTTCTGCAGTGGAAAGAGGTATCAGATTTTTCCAACAATCCCTGCTCTAGCTGACATTTCCCAGCACTCTTCACCACCCAGCTGGAAGTCAGCACTTCCTTACCTGTTAAGCTCATGAACCATGGATGTATCCCTGTGGCCTCTCATCACCATTTGCTGTTCTTTGAGTTGCTTGGCAACCTGCAGAAAACATTATTTATGAAACTGCTGCAGTGTTTCACAGTCACTTGATATTTTCTGGGATAAACTGATCAGTCAGTAGCTGGGGTCAGTTCTAAATCAAAAGCACTGTTTGAAAATCATTAAGGTAGAACACCTACATCTTTTGCTGATGAGCCAGACACCTCGATCCAAGTCTTGGAGAAGAATGCACAGGATCCCAACATAAATATTATATAAACTATTACATGGACAGGATCCTCAAATATTGCACCCATGGATTCTGGAGGAGACAAGTAGTAGCACAGGCCACCAACAGGGTAAGAGCGAGCAGGGCCACCTCCACTGACATCCTGAGAGGGGAAGAAAAATGCAGTAAATTATTTGTCACAAACTTCCCACACTCCTATCCTGTATTAATAGAGGAATTCCTCTTTGATGTTTGAAACAGCTTTTACACACAAATGTTACAAAGTAAGTATTCCAGTTGGTTAAATACCAAGGATTCACATCAAAGTAAAAATGCAGTAATTCTACACAGCTAAAATGTGATCAAATACTCACTGCCCACTGTCCCAGTAAGTTCACCAAGAAGTTGCCACTGAAACGAACAGACAACATCTGGGAAATGACATAGAGGTTTGACACCAGGGCAGACTGCAGGATGATGGGAATGTTGGAGGTGTAGAAGAGCTTGATGGGATAGCTGCTGTACTGCCCCCGGTACCGCGCAGACTTGATGGGCAAATCCACCCGGAACCCCTGGGGAAAGAACACAAAGGCACCAGGGCTCACCTCTGAGGCACAAGGAACCCCCAGAGTGCCCCAAAGCTACTCCTGACCAGGCAGCTCTTGCTAGATAAACAAGGACTGCAAGGTCTGAGATAGAAAAGCCCAAAGGCTTTCTGTCTGGATTACAGATTTTAAGGATTTAAAAGTTTTACTGCTTGGTTGTGTTACATCCTTGTCACATAAACATGGTTTCTCATCTGCTAACTGGTACTCCTGTAAAATACATTTTATAGCTTAGGGGTTGATAAAAGCCTGTCATGGCTTCCAAGTGAACTAGCCAGTTACCAGGAGGCTCTTGTGTGTAAGCCCAGGCTCTTGTGTAGTTTTGTGGGGCAGGACCTTTTCTGAGTGGACCACATGAACTTGAAAACCTGTTTTTGGGTTTTTTTTGGTTGTTCCCCCTCCCAAAAACTCAAACTCAACAACTTTAAAAAAAAAATCTTAAAAATTACATTTCAGCTGCCCTCATCCCCATTATCTCCACATGGATCCTCCTTTAGTGTCCATTTTAGCAGATACTTAGATTTAAAAAGAAACACGAATTAAATGTTTCCAGAAAATTAGGCAAAAACCAATAAACTACACACCCCAAAGAAGCAAAATTCTCCAGCTCTGTTTAAAAGTATTCTTTTCAGTCAATGATGAATATTAAGAATATTATTGATGTGATGCAACCACTGCAGTACCAGAATCCATTTTATTAAAAATATTCTTATAGTGTGTATGGCATTCAATGAAATGTGAGATTAC